CCCCGATGCCCTTATTAAACACATGATGCTGGGTAGACTTGCTGTTTGTTTCCAGTGACATGAGTGACATCTCCATGGCCTTTTACTTAGACAGATGAGGCCGTTTACCTCAAACAATGATGTGCTCTTTTTTTAACATTAGCATGATCTTCAGCTCACATGATAAAGCTGTAAAGATTTGTTTAACGTCAAAATGGAAAGTGGTCATATCACTTTTATAATGTGGAATATTTCAGAGTGAATCAGGATCAGGAAATAACATAGGGCGGGACTTGACTGGATTTGTTTTAATTGCATGCAACAATGAATCATGCACAGTAATAGGCTACGAAAAACAGAAATCAAGGAAATAAATAGTCAATTTACTGATTGTAGAACTACACCTATAGACCAGTGGTTCTCAACAAACTTCCAAAGGAGCCTCAAGATGACTTAAATGTGCTTAAATTTGACGCATTGAAGTTAAAAAGGTTGATATCCACTGCTATAGAGGCTATATTCCATTGTGTTCAATAAAGGAACAATGTAAATTGTCATCATTATTGACTAAAAAACATTACTCACACTGAAACACCCTAGGAAGTAATGAAACTTCTCTGTGGAATGTGGAATATTCCATTTTTTTTGTGTGTTGCAATTTTCCAACCAGCACATCTTTTATTTTCTGTTACTCGTAGGAATCATTTGCTGAAGTGGAAATGTCAGGGATTTATTATATAGCTTCCAGAAGCCTCGAGATAAAGAATAATTCATGAATTATCAGCCAAATAAGTTTTTATATGGAGCGACGCAGTAAACAGAAATCTGTTCTAAGAACATTTTGGGAACCGTTAAGTTAAGCTTAATGTTAATGTTAAAAAAATTCTAAATCATTTTTATTTATCATTTTAGGAACTTATGTACTCTAAAAAGTGCCGTTAGTAACATTTACAAACTAAACAACTAAAAAACATTTTTCAGAAAGAAAAAAAACATTCTTTGAACATTATATTTGAACAACTTTGAGGAAGTTTTAAAAGACCAGATAACTGTAATGAAACATTCTATTAACATTACAGGAAGAAGAATGTGTGTTCATAACTTTGTTCATCGTTCTGGGAATGTTGCCTGTTTAAGTTCAGAGGCACTTAGCATTAGATGTGACAGTTTCTCTCTGCACTCATTCATTAGTCTGTTGAATTTGAGGTCAGGCTAGTCAGATAAGTGGTTTCATTGTGTTGGCGTGCAGCGGTGTGTGAAAGAAATATATTTGTACTGCGCTTTTAATATTGGGTCTATTTTAGCATCTGAGACTGATTTGCATAACTCCTCATGTCTGATGTGGAAGAAGACTGTGTCATTACCATAAAGATTCCGGTGCAAAATGCAAAAAGGGCATAGCGTAGAAAACCTGCCGAGACGGCTCATATGGAAATGAAGGCAGTGTCCATGCAGAACTGGAACATATTACACCTTTAATTCTCTATTTCATGAAGCTTTCCAGCTAAGACTGAAATGTGTAGGGCTTACTTTCATTCTGAACATACGCAGCTGTAATAAGACACATGCCAGACCAGCACATGTACTCTGAGATGCTGATCTAGATGGTTGCAAATTCCGTCATGTAAATAGCAAATCCGCCATGGCGCGAGCTTTAAAAGGGAATGGGAGAAGAGACTCTGATTGGTTTATTGCACGTTACGCCCAAAACACACCCACTACTCATTAAAGGATAATTCTGGTATTTAACACTTTGAGTCTATTTTTTTGTTTGTTTTGGATGAACTAGAGTGGTGGACTTAGAAATTTTGACGATGGGTCCTGTCTCGACTTTTTGACTATTTTAGAATCGCCTCTGACCGCTTCAGAGTGGATGTCTATGGGCATGCTCAAACATGTCCTTAAAACAACCCTTAACGTTCGTTTTCAAAACTGTGCAACTCACCGAGTGGTTAGTGGTGTTCGTTGATGATTAAAAACAAATAAATCGGCGCAATGTATGCTTTCAATCCGTGTTATTTGCTATAGTGGAACTATTTTTTCAGATACCTCACAACCGCGTATAAACTTCCGCTCGATATTTGAGTCTGAAGCGTTAGCACACTCCCGACCACTTGATGGCGACAACCACTTTGCCGCAGTTGCTCAGCTCACGCTAGCCTTCTGAGAGACGGAGAACCGAGCGAAAAGACTACAACCAAATGTAAACAGACCCCTTTCCGTTTCCGGTAGCGCAGTAATATCAACGAGCACTGAGTCCTCCAGCAGACATCAATGCGATTTTAAAAAATGGCAAATAAAACACGACAGAAACTGTATTTCGCTACGCTACGTTTTGAAAACGAACGTTAAGGGTTGTTTTAAGGACATGTTTGAGCATGCCCATAGACATCCACTCTGAAGCGCTCAGAGGCGATTCTAAAATAGTCAAAAAGTCGAGACAGGACCCATCGTCAAAATTTCTAAGTCCACCACTCTAGTTCATCCAAAACAAACTAGACAATAGACTCAAAGTGTTTAATACCGGAATTATCCTTTAAGAGAAGAGGGACAACACTTTTAGACCATGCACTGGGTGCGTCGACCATTTTTTCCCGTCGTTAAACTAGTAAAAGTGGACTCAGACACGCCATAAGTGTGGCGTGCGCTTTAAACCATGAGCTTAGATTGCTAAAATAGGGCCCGTAGTGTGAGTTTGGCTTCTGTAGCAGGCGGAGACAGAGAGTGTGTATGGAGTTACGGGACTATGACTGATGCGTTAAACATTCAGCTTTGGTAGCAGAAGTGCAAGCCAAAATTCGCTGCATTTAGTCCTTCAAAGATTAAACCGGTCTTGAACATTGCGATGCAACACTCTACAATGGATGCTTCAATACCATACAGCAGCATCATGTACCCGTTCAGAAAGACAAATTGTACCAGTTTATTTTAATGTGTCCAGTTTAGACGGCCTCAAACAGTTGTTGAGCGTCATGTCAAAAAATGTGCCCATTGGATGGGTTTGTTATAAGCGAAACACTCGCTCTAGACAGTGTGAGCATACTCGGTTGCTTACTCATGACACATAGCAACACAGCTAAAAGGACTCCTATGTAGGATGCTTTTATTGTAAGTAGCCTACTTTTACCTGTTGAGACGCCTTTACAAGCACAAGTGTTTGTGATGTTTGAGTTGGGGGAGGCATGACATGTGAAAGGGGCGTTTGCAATGTTGTTTTTGTAATTATGCTAAGTGCCACTAGTGTCGCAGAAAATGCTTCACCTTTAAAGGTACAATATGTAAGAATTTTGTAATAAAATATCCAAAAATCACTTGCACAGTGTGATATATTTCCTGCAGTTGTGTACTCACAATATCCCAAAAGTATCCAAAGATTTTTTTATTTCAGCGAAATTCCAATTTTAAAAAAGTGGCCGTCCCGGAAAAAAATGTCGCCTGTCAATGACGCAATATCCGATCTATACTCGGTTTCCGTTCGTACTGCCATAGCCATGACATAACCATGGCGACAGACGTGGACAACTGCGTAGTGCGTAACGTTTAGCGGCACGCAGTTCTTGTTTCTTTCAAACATAGACCATGGCAAGCAGACTTTGGGACAAACAAGGAGAACTAAAATGAGGATCTATATCAGCGTGGCGTTTTTGAGATGCCGAGAGCTCCACGTCCGCGACTAACTTGGACTTGACAGAGCTTCACGAGTCACGACTTGACAGCTTTATTAGACAGGTGAGCAAATATACATAAGACACATCAATGTTATATAACGTTAGCTCAACATGATGAAATGTTAGAATATGGTCAGTATGTTATTCTAATGTTGATCTAGCTTACTGCTAGTTTCGTATAGCAAACGAACTAACACGTAGAATAACATTATAACTTTCAACACACATTTAAATGCCGTTTAGTGTGATAGTGTAACGTTACACCAAGTGAAGCAGCGCTGCGTTACCTCACACGTTTAATTCGTCTAATAAACTGACCTGTGTGAGTAGTCCAGCACTTGCGGGTAGTTGGGTAGAATTAAATGTCCTTATTTCTTTATATCCGCGGGACTCGCGTGTGATATCTGTCTCGTTAGCAATCGCGACCTGCTTCATACCACTGTAATGTTAAAAAACATGAATGTTTGCACTCATCCATAAACATTATTAGATCCATCAGCTTGACGGCAAGTCCCATCGTTCAGCTCATCACTGCGTCATCAACCTACGCCTTTGTTATTGTAGGAAACTGCGCCCTCTTGTGGCGAAAAAATCGTACATATTGTGCCTTTAAGGGAATAATATACTTTTGTGCAAACTGCATGTGAATTTTTCGGACTCTAAATTGCATGTTAATTGCAATAAAATGAAAATGTATTAAAGTTTAAATTTATTTTAAATACAATTCGCTTGACTGAAGAGTGTTTTTTTTTTTATTTTTTTGTTTTTTTATACCCACTTCCAAAAATTGTCTTGCATCCCACAATGTACACTGTCTCACATCAATACATGTCAATACCACACAATTACTTTGAAACAGGTACGTATGCTACGTTTTTTTTTTTTTTATAATTGCTCTGTTGATTCCAGTTATTCCAGAAATGCAGTATTGTGACACATAAAGCAGGTGACAGGTCTCCTGATAACACAGTTTAACCTGCGAACAAATGTCCAGCCATTCTGTATTCATTTCTTATGTAATCTTCACTTATTCTGAGATGAACTTTAAGCATCAGTGAATCTTTTCCCTCTGATCCAGTTCAGAAGTTTAGCTCACGTTATCTGCATGGGAATGTGTGCTTTCTTTTCCACGAGCTTCTCATTTAAGCACTTGAGAGAGAAAAGAGACGGGGAGCGTATCGACCCCTGTGGTGTCCCGTAAGCGCACTACAGCAGGACACATTTTCATGGGGTCATGTTGTCACATACAGCATACTGACTGTGGCTTTTGTCTGGTCAGAAAGTGAAACATGAGAGCGAGTTATGTTGCTCCGCCCCCTTCTCTCTGTTGTGGATTAGGGTAAAGTCAGGCTGAATGAGAGTAATTACTTAGTCGTCCCGGAACATCTCTCTGTGTTGAGACATGCGTCTCTGAGCGGTCATGAGGAGTGATAAGGGTGTGCGCTCCTGCTGTGGCTGGATTCTCGAGAAATGTTGCTGCTGCCGTCATGTGGGAGGTGGGTTTCATAGACGCTGTAGAACTGATCTGTGCTGAACTAATGTAGATAGTCAGTGCAAGTTTGCTGCACACCAGTTGCTTTATACATATGATGTATGTATTTTGCATTGAGCTTCTTCACCTATGTGACTTGTATCTTTAGTTTACTAAAAAAAAGTTCACTTAAATGTATTGAATATGCACTTGAAGTGTACTTCAGATCTTAAAAGCTTAAAAACGTACTTGCAGATAATATAATATCAATGAAATTAAAGATCACTTAAGTGTATTTTGAAGTACATTTTAAGTTCATTTTAAGAATCTTTTGTTGTGCTTTAAATACACTTAATTTGATGTGTTGATTAGCATACTAAATCACATGTAAATTACTTCACTATATTTTTTTAATTGTAGTGTTTTATGTGACGTAAAGTTAAATGTTACAGTAATTTTAAATGTACCACCTTTGTTACACATATGTCAATACACACATATTTAAATACATGACATTTAATGTCAATAGAAATAACAATGTGAAACAAGTTGAATAGAAAAGTATAAAGTATTGAATTATATTTGAATTTGCCATAAATGCTTGTCAGTACATTTGCCGGTACATTTTAAGCATCTTTTAAAAAGTAATTCTGAAATTGCATATAAAAATGGACTTAAGTGCTACTTAAGTGGGTTAAAACACTCTTAAACACACAACGCATGTTATTTAAAATTAAATGTAAATGAAGTTGAAGTGTCTGAAAACATTACAGTCAGTCGCACTTAAGTATGTTATTTTAAAGTATATTATTTCCGTAATAAGTACTCTTTTAAAAGTATGCTGAAATGTACCACTTTTCCCCAAACAATAAGTATATTTTTTTTCAACATCAGCTCATTGGATAAACATGCCTCATTACCTCATACCTCATTCCATACATACTTACATTTTTGCAACACACATATAAATACTTACACATCACTGCAGTTTCCAGCTGAAAGCAACACTAGAGAATAAAACAGCAACAACTTTAATACACCAGTCTTTAAATCTGTTTCAGATAAAACTGAACACATTTCTAGCGTCAATTTAAATTGTTGCTAAATGTGCAAGACGTGTCATAATGTCATTTGGCGGAAATGTCACCACAGGTATTGAGCTTGGGTTGTATATTTTAGTTTTTGGGTTTAAATTTTTTCCCCATTTTAATCAAATGTAGCTACTTGCAGTTCATTTCAGTTCAGTCCTGCGTTGAGACAAATGAAAGTCAAATATTCCACACAGTTCCTCAACTGATATGAGCTCATAAAAAAATGTTAATGATAATTATAAAATGGTTCTAGATTAAATATCTCGATGGTTATGCTGAAATACAGCATTTCACACTACAGAAACTGATGACACGGCTGGACAATGTCAACGTGCAGTGCATTTTGACTGGTATTGAAAGATACTTTTTGGGATTGATCTGAAAACATAATTTGTTTTATCTTGCATGCGTTTCATATCTCTGGCTGGTGGTTTGAAATGATATTGACTGTAGGGCCGCAGTGCTCTGGGATGTTTACTCTGTCTTGTCATGGGTAGATGAGGCTTGTTGGTGTGTGTGTGTGTGTGTGTGTTGATGTCAGGGTGAAGTACCTCTCTTCTCCTCTCTAATGTGGACTAAAGGGACTCTCTCTCTCCCTCTCCATACTGATTAACTCAAAAACAGACAGGCCTCAAAATAGGGTTTATGGAGTAATGGTTTTGGTTTGTATGGGTTTTCAGCTATATATCGAAGGGAGGACGTTGAAATGCTTATCTTGCTATTTCTAGTATAGTCAATTAGCAATGTGTTTATAGGTGCATTCTCGCAATGTTTGAATTACCATGTTTACGAGATTTTGACTTTCACATCCTTGTAAATCTCATAATACAATTTATGAACTCTGAATTTACTTAGAGCTCCAACTTGTACCACCTGACAGTGACACAGGTCTGCGCAGGGCCGTTTTTCAGGTCCCACTCCCACCATACGCTCCGACAAAATGTTGCCTTGCATGTATGTTTCCCAATTCAGACGCTGCGTCCTTCGAAGGATCCCGACTTCAAAGGCCATGAAGGTCGTAGCGGGCGTTGTTAAATGAGACAGTCTAGCCCACCACTAGACTTTTTTGAAAGTTATATTCAACTGTCTGAAAACAAAACAGGGATGAAAATATGTTCACCTAGGTCCATTTATGTTCATAAAGAGTCTAAACTATCACATCTTGGTATGATAAAAGGCAACACTTGAACCGCTTTAAAGCAACACTAAGTACGATTTTTTACCTTAAAATAATGTTTCCAAAATCGTTTCAGTGGTTCATCAAGTCGTAACAGGGTGAAAGGCACTTCTGGATTCGCTTTGCGGTCCTATATCTGCCATAACCACGCTATGTAAGATTGCCAGATCGGGTCGCGTTTCTGTAGTTCTAATGAGACATAAGAAAACTACAAATTTGACTTGCTCAAGTGTTACAATAGTCATTATTTAGTTTTTCTTCGTTTCTGATGTCGCAATACTTCATACTTTCATGAAATCATGCAACATACTCTACCTTGTCTGTGGAAATCGTTTATTCCAAAGCCGGTGCTGGATAAACGAGCTTGCGTGCGACAGTAGGCTGCGGTAGGCTAAATTATTTACGACAGCGGTAATGGACACTTCCGCTTCCAACCTGTAGGGCGACCGAAGAGGAAAAGTTACTCGGTGTTGCTTTAATGTCTGTTTGTGTTTTGTGCATTTGTATCATTAGATATTTGTGTAAATTGAAACCAAATACACATTTTAAAGCGTTGTCCACCTCAAAAAGTCCAGCCGTCACCTGCACGCAATGAATCTTGGGATAGGCAAGGCTGTGAAGGATCCACTCGTTTGATCCTTCGCGGTCCAGGAAACTCATTTTATTAAAAAGGCATTTGGATAATGATACTTGTTTTTTCTTTCTGGTTTTGTCTATTAATTCAAATTACACATTCGTTTTGGCGTTAGTGTTGCCGCAGTAACGTATAATTGCGAGTCCAAGGGCGAGAACAGCTTTGAGTGAAACTTTCGAGTTGTCATCTAGTAATTATGGTAATTATGGCGTAAATGCACCATTGCATTGCACTTATTACAGGTTCAGCCCCCTGTGGTAATCTGAGATTTTCTTCGAGGGCACAATGTTTCAGTCATATTTTTGTCATGTTTATGGTTTACTCCTTGTGAAACCTTTTGATTGTCGGCTCTGAGATTTACCCATTATATGCCACAGCACCCCAGACTAACTCTCTAGCAGTTCTAATCGCTTTTGCTTCATGACTAGTCAGGGCTACCAGGGGGACCCATCAAATGTATGGGGGCTTAAAATCTTGTCTTGGGTCCTACAAATGGTTTTCAAGAAAAATAGTTGACTAGACTGAGTCAGTATTTACAGATTCATGCTGCTCGTGTTGTCGACTTAAGTCACGTGATCTTCACGTAGTTGACAAGGAGCAAAATTAAGTGGCTAGCTGACTGGACATTATCGCAGTATATACTGTTCATTATGTAGAAAGGTGTTCACTGTGCACAGGCTTCTTTGCACGCTTTACAGTCTTACAAACGACAAAGTTATGTGGACGAATTGGAAAATCAAGCATGTCTCAAATTAGACACTTGTAAGAAACGGGCTCTCACTTTCAACTGTTTCTTTTCCCCAACAAACTTCTTATCACGTGTAAATATTTGTATGAACATAAAAATATTAAAAAAGCAAATTTAACAAACTTTTGACAATTAGAAGTGGAATAATGGACCGCACCAAAATGGCCAGTTCTTGTTACTCCACTCTTCCACATAAGCCCCTTTCACACAGAGATTCCAGAAAATACACGGATAATGTGTCCCGGGATCATTTGATTTTGGTTCATTCACACTGCCAGTGATTTTCCAGAATCTGTGAGTGCGTTCACACACAACCCATAAAGACGCGTGACGTCAGGATGTGACGTGTAACGTACGTGTCGAAATGATTTCCGGATTCGGTCGTACACTAACGCATCGCGTACCGTTCCACAAAGCTGAACGATCGTAAGTAGCTCCTTGGTCTCTGCTTCATTCCAGTTTGCAGACATTTTTTCGTTCTTTCTTTGTTGATGACAAACACAAACTTTCTTCTAAGAGCAAAAGAGTCGCACGATAACTACGTCATTGCGATGGCACATGCATCATCACTACGACGCAACCCTTACGGCATTGGTCCTGGCTTTTGTTCGCACAGGGCGCATTCCAGGACTGATCCCGGCATCAATCCCGGGACGTGTTTGCGTTCACACAGAAGGCACTCTAGCAATTTTACGGCAATTTCCCGGGATCAACGTGCTGTGTGAAACGGGCTTAAGGCACTTACAGGTTCTCGAACATGTTTGGGCAGGACATGTGGTAATGTGGTTTGGCACTACAAGGACGATCAACAGTCTTCCTGTCTCCCTATAGCACTGTCTTAGGTGTCTTACATTACAGATACTGCTGTTTATTGCCCTGTTCACATCTGCAGTCCTCATGCCTCCTGCAGCAGGACAATGGCACGTTCACAAAGGTCAAGTCAAATATATTTATATAGGGCTTTTCACAATACAGATTGTATCAAAGCTGCTTCACAGTATCAATCAAAACAACTTAACAGTGTTTGTTTATTACTGGAAAAAGACATCCAAGTTTGGTAGAGCTGATCAGTGGTATGATGGGTCATTTAATTTGAATATCCCCAACTGAGCAAGCCAAAGGCAACAGTGGCAAGGAACCGAAAAACTCCATCAAGTGACCCGATGGAGAAAAAAAAACCTTGGGAGAACCCAGGCTCAGTCGGGGCCAGTTCTCCTCTGGCGTTTATGAAGTAGAGGCCAAATTTACAGTAACTGTAAGATAACAATTTTATATGAATGCCTGGCTAAATAGATGCGTCTTTAGTCTAGTTTTAAACTCGGAGAACGAGTCTGAGCAACGAACAATATCAGGAAGGCTATTCCAGAGCTTCGGA